CACACACACACATTTAGCTCTCAACTAGCCATCTCTCTGGTTCTTTCCCAGGATGTGTTCTTGATATGCTTCTCCCTGGTCAGTCCGGCCTCCTTTGAGAACGTCCGAGCTAAGGTCAGTACACTGACTGACCACCCCACCTCCTTTTCCCCTTCATGCCGAGTCTGACCACAAGGAGGCACATCTATGGCTCCACCTGGTTATTACACTGTTACCCCACTTGTCCAGACCTTGGCTTAGAACGGTCTAGATTTGAACTCATTCACCCCAGGGATGTAGCACATAGACATGTTCTTAGATGAGGTCTGAACTTGTGCAAATACTGTGCAGAGGGTGTGTGATGGCCATCTGTGATGTTGTCTGCCGAGCATCATGTGATGCTTTCATATGAAATCACACTTTTCTTTGGTCCAGCCTCCTTCTGTAGAGTCTTTATACTAGTCGGTCGGGATTCTCTCTCATCATGTGATATGTGATGTTACTGGAGATTGCTTTGCCTGAGGATTTGAGTTCATACAAGTATGCTTTCTTTCAGACTGATCTACTGTTGAATGTAATCTTGGAAAGGTAGTCTTTGCTCTCACTCTGTATGCAGCTAACTGTTCCCTCTTTCCTCTCTTGTTGACTTTGTCCTTTGTATATGCATGTGTACGCTTGTGTGTTTGTGTGTCTATGTTTCTGGCGCCTCAGTGGTACCCTGAGGTGAGACACCATTGCCCCAACACACCCATCATCCTGGTGGGAACAAAGCTGGATTTGCGAGATGACAAGGATACCATTGAGAGGCTGCGAGACAAGAAGCTTTCTCCCATCACTTACCCGCAGGGCCTGGCCATGGCAAGAGAGATTGGTAAGGCTGTGTATGACATATGGTCTGATCCAAGTCTTCCCCATCTGCTTATCGAAGTACTGGCTAGTTGTAAAAGAGACAATGATAGCACCACCAATAATAATATTGGTAATGATAAAAGTGCTGATAATATATAATAGGGCAGCACTAATATTAATACCTGCAGCTCTGAAATCAGGGACACCTGCAGTATGAGGACTCAGAGTTAAAGCACAAACAACAGTAGCTGTGTCTAAAGACATTCCCATGTCCCAAAGATAAGATTCCTGGCAGAAGAACCCTAGGCCGAGGTTATACCATCCTAATTTACTTTCTCTGAGATGCTAGAGGCCAAGTACAATAACTTCTGTTGCGTCTGAATTTCGAAGTAAAAAAAAAATTACAGGTCATCAAGGCCTTAATATCTTGAAGACATACCTGATTTTTGACTACCTTGTTAGTTTCATAAGACTTCAGAGATAAATACAGTCTTCCAACAATGTAAAAAAAATTTTTTTGATTAACTTTCTTTATTGGAAGCAATTTCACAGGCAACAACATAACATTGCAGTATGACAGAGAGGACTTCCATTCTGACCTTTTTTGTTCCCTTATCTTTTTATCCCTCCCACATTGTATATCCCTTGATGTCACATTAACAAAACAGAGTGCATACAAGAAA